GTGTTTAAATTTCCTTCTCTTCTTCATTCAACGCTTCATCGCGCAGGTGGAGTGTGTTTCATTCTTCTTCTGTTCTTCATTCTTAATATTCTGTAGTTCCGTAGAAATTCGCAAATTTTTCAGCGTAGGATTTCGACTCGGTCAGAATGCAGAGAGCTTACAACTTGAGATATCCACGAGATGCGAGGCGTGAGGCGCAAGCGCCTGCGAAAATCCGGCGGCGAACCTTTGAAGACCTTCCGAAAATCTCGAGGATCATGCTCCATCTCTGGAGTGAGGCGGAAAATTCTTTGAGTTGCAATCAGCTCATAGATATTCAAAAGAAACACGCTATGATTGCGAGCCTCACCATAATTCCCGTAAAGCTGCATCGTAGAGAGAACGCCAACACTAAGGTGCTACTCAGGAGACCTGCGGAAAAGAAGTTCCACAACAGCAGAAACTTACTCATACTGTCTGTCGTCCCACCACCCGGGAGTCTCAAGGATGTGCAGTTTGAATCAATGGATTCTTATCTGAGTTTCCTCATCGGCACCTGTGGAAACTGCGCGATTTGCACGAGACCGAATGATTTCGTTTCTCTGAATGACTCACGAGCTCACGCCCAAAGTTATCGACATCGAAAGTATGAATTTTTTGGCAGAAAAGCTCGATTAGTGTTCCCGGAGATGTGACCTTCCATCGCATTATGATTCATTCTCAATAAATCAATAAATTCATTTCGTCGTTTTTCATGAGTTTTTGGAGCCAACGACCTTCTTAGGCCTATCCGAGTCCACCTTCCCAGCGGCGTCGCCTCGGCGCGGCAAGACGAGATGAGTTTTCTTAGCCAACGACTTTCTTGGCCCTATCCAAGTGCTACGTACAGGTGTTTTCTCTCGCATTTACAAAAATGCCCATTCCTAAGGAATCAATTACAAAGTGCGTTTCTCCGTCATTGGAGGCTTCAGCCGACGATACCGCTTCCAGACGGCGAGCCGAAGAGAAGCGAACGCGAGATAAGCTCTACCATCGTCTTCGGAGGACATCTGCGAGAGAAGAGTCATCATTCGATCCCCAGTCCGACAGGAAACGCCAGAAGAAATTCGCCAAGATCCCTCATCGAAACTCTTCAGGTGCCGCCGTAGTTAGTTCTGATCAAGATGAACCGACCTCACGTGAACTCCTTGATGCGAGTTTCACCACAGTTCAAGACCGACCAACGGGCATCCCTCTCACACAAATCGATGGAGAACTCTCCGTTCCAAAGGAGGTTCTTCCTTCGACTTCCAGCGAAGTTCAAAACCAACCAATGCTTGAATCTCAGGTCGTATCCCCCGCACAAATCGACGAAGGACGTGATTCTCGAACGATTCTCGATCAGCAGGCGACCGATACAGACTCCACCACGGACGATATCCATGATCAATCTGAGGCTACTCCTGTAGATGCCATTGCCTTGACCTGCCGCTCGCCACAGAAGCATTTCCTGGGCCCTCTTGCGGTGTCGTGCGCCCACTGTTCGGCGAAACACTTCCACGCGGAGCGTATTTTGCGTCATCGGACTACGTTCACGACATGCTGTAACATAGGTCGAATCACACTGCCGAGATTTCTGGATTTCCCTCAACAATTGCGCGATTTGTTCGTCGCTCCCACAGAAGAAACCCCACAGGACTCGGAACTCAGGGCAAATTTTCTGGCAAATATCCGACACTATAATTCATCACTGGCGATGGCGTCCATGGGGGGCAATATTGAGTCTCTACGCGGTGGCGGGCCGTATTGCTTCCGTCTCCACGGACAAGTCTATCACAATATCGGATCTTTACACCCAGCAGAGGGAAACCCCCCCTCATACGGTCAGCTCTATATTTTAGATACGTCCGAGGCGACGAGACACAGAATGGCTGTGCCTCAGAACGAACGGTGTAGCTCACAATTAATCGACCGATTAGGATCACTGATTGCTGGGTGTAATCCTTACGCGAGATCCTTCACAATGATGCGAGACGTTGAAAACGCAGAGCTTCGTGCTGCTGATTGTGAAAATCGCCCCCGACTGAACTTGAGAATGGTCTTCGATGATGCCCGTCCTAGAGGTTTGGATGGGAGAAGGTATGACGTGCCTACAGCTAACGAAGTGGCGGTCATCTACGTCGGCGAGGATGGAGATGTACCGTCAACTCGTTCTATAGTAATCCATGACAAGAAGGGCCAGATTTATAATATTTCACATTTAGATAAGCGATGCGATCCCTTAACATACCCGCTTTTTTTCCCGACTGGCGAAGATGGCTGGGACCCGACTCTGCAGGATGTGAATGGCAAACGAATTACTCAGAAACAATATTATTCTTCTCTGCTTTCAATCAGAGATACATTCAATCCGATTCTTCGCGGTGGAAAGCTCTTCCAACAATTCGCTGTTGATTCCTTCGTCAAACTAGAACAGAACCGCCTGAATTTCTGTCGTCAAAACCAGACTAAACTGCGAGCCGACACTTACAAGGGTCTCCAGGACTTCATGGCAAGTGAATTGTCGGGCCCGCCAGGACGTCGAATAATTCTTCCTTCCTCATTTATTGGTTCCGCGCGTTACATGCAACAGAACTATCAAGACGCCATGGCAATCGTCGCGAGATTCGGGAAACCAGATTTGTTTATTACAATCACGTGCAATCCCAAATGGCCCGAACTCCACGATAATTTGTTCCCTGGCCAATCGGCGGAACATCGTCCAGACTTGATCGCGAGGGTATTCAAGCTCAAATTAGACGCAATCTTCGATGATATATTGAAAAAAAAAGTGTTTGGCAAAGTCCTGGCCCACGTGATGGTGATTGAATTCCAGAAAAGAGGTTTGCCTCATTGTCATACACTCCTTATTCTTGAAGGAACATACAAACCGCGGACTCCTGACGATGTTGACCGAATATGCTGTGCGGAAATTCCCGACCCAGAATTAGAACCGCAACTTCATGAGGCCGTGAAGAATTTCATGATCCATCGGAATTGTGCGCGATTTAACCCTTCAGCACCGTGTTCGGTGAATGGCGAATGTATGAAAAAATTTCCCAAAGAGCTCCGCGAGGTAACGTTTTCCACCCATGACGGCTACCCTTTCTTGAGGAGGCGGAATAGATTCTCCGCATCGGTCGCCAATAGATCATATGGAGACGAATGGGTTGTACCATACAATCCCTACCTTCTGCTGCGGTATAATTGTCACATAAACGTCGAAATATGCGGAATGATATCATCGGTGAAATATTTGTACAAATATGTTTATAAAGGTGTGGATAGAGCGCTCTTGACCATAGATACCGAAGATGCTGTCGATGAAATCAGCTTACACTTGAATGCGCGATACGTTTGCGCGCCGGAGGCTATGCACAGAATTCAGGGCCACGAATTGCAGCACAAGTCCCACTGTATTTACAGATTAGCCATCCATTTGCCGAACCAGAGGAACCTCGTGTTCGTCGAGGGTCAAGAAGAAAGGGCTGTGCTGAATGCCGAGACCACGTTCTCAACTCTGACAGCCTATTTCCGCCTCAACGAAATTTTCCTCAGAACAGCTGACGACGAGGGTTACATTCCGAACCTTCGCGACTTATTGTATCATCAACTACCGGAACATTTCGTGTTTACTGCCAAACTAGGATGGAAGCCTCGGCAACGAGGTGCTTCCAAGGTCATAGGTCGAATGTTCACTGTTTCCCCCCGGGACTCCGAGAGATATGCCCTTCGGATTCTTTTGTTGAACGTGAAAGCTCCCATATCTTATGAATTTTTGAGGACAGTCGACGGAGTAGTACACAATACGTTCATGGATGCAGCCAAAGCTGCGGGACTTCTGAGCGATGACACGTACTTTCGCAAGAGTCTGCAAGAAGCCGTTCTTTTCCAAAGTCCTGCTCTACTACGGAGTTTCTTTGCCTGTTTGCTCGCCTTTTGCGAAGTTTTCCAAATCCAGGCTTTGTGGGATGAATTCATCGCTCATTTTGTGGAGGATTTCGTGCATAGAGGGAGCACTTATGATGCTGCGGTCGCGTTGGCTTACTATGATGTTGCTGATAAGTTGGCCGCTTTCAATGTCCAATTCGAGACACTCGTCGTACCGCCGGAATGCGGCAGACCTCTGAATGACGGATCCGACGTTGATTTCGATCATTTGATGCATCAAGGGGAGCATATGTATTCGACTCTGAATCAAGCTCAAAAATTGGCTGTTGATGGTATTCTCTCAGCTGATGAGTCCTCTACGTCCTACTTTTTCATTGACGGACCTGGAGGATCGGGGAAGACTTATTTGTACAATACACTCTACAATTTACTCGTGGGTCGCCGAAAAAACGTCCTCTGCGTTGCATGGACTGGCATAGCTGCGAATCTCCTCCCTGGCGGTCGAACCGTGAATTCGGTCTTCAAATTGAACATCCACGATAATAATCGAAGTTCTTCTATGAAGCGCCAGCAAAAGGAAGCTGCCCATTTAGCCAAGTTAGATCTTCTCATCTGGGATGAAATCTCAATGGTCCCGAGGCAAGCATTTGAGGCCGTCGACGCTCTCTTAAGAGATATACGACAAAACGAAGAGCCTTTCGGGGGAATAAAGGTTGTCCTTGGGGGTGACTTCCGGCAAACACTGCCCATCGTGGAAAGGGCTTCTGTCGGGGAAATCATTCAGGCATGCGTGATCAAATCAATTCTATGGTCTCGTTTTTCAAAATACGAACTCACCGAGAACGTGCGAGCGAGAAACAGTGGCAGCGATTGGCATCAGTTCTTGCTTGACGTCGGCGACGGGCATGCGAACGATGAACGCGGAAATGTTACCATTGGACCAGCGATGCTGTGTAGCGGGCGTATCGTTGACGAAATCTTCGGCAGGACAATCGTAGAAGACGCGATGAGCGATCTCGTCGACAGGGCAATTCTAGCTCCCAAGAATCGAGATGTTTCAACGTTGAATAAATTAGTCCTCGATAAAATTACACTCCGAAATCCCGACGATGGAAATATATATAGGAGTATCGACGATATCATGGAAGATTCGCAAGAAGATCGGATGTATTTCACTACTGAGTATCTGAATAGTTTGACTCCACCAGGAATGCCACCCCATGAACTCCATCTCAAGAAGGGAGCTATCGTTATGCTCCTTCGCAATCTGGACATATCGAATGGATTATGCAATGGTACCAGATTCCGAGTGTCAGCGCTAGGTAAATTCGTCGTTAGTTGTCAATTCGTCGCGGGAGCTAGGAAGGGCCAGCTCGTACTGATTCCGAGGATTGATAATTATTGTGATAATCGGCTACCGTTTCGAATGAGAAGACGGCAATTCCCGCTTCAATTGGCATTTGCAATTACAATCAATAAGAGTCAGGGACAAACGTTCAACAAACTAGGCATTTATCTGAATGAAGACGTTTTTTCCCACGGCCAACTTTACGTCGCTTTGTCAAGAGTAAGACAACCGAACCAGTTGCGTATAAAAGCTCCCAAGAATTTTGTCAAAAACATCGTGTACCTAACATCTTCTTGATCAAAAGCCGAAGTTTGAATTCACTATGTAAATAAATGAAATTCGAAATTCGAGCATTGAAACATATGTGGAAGAATGACTCCTGCGCTTGGGAAATTCGTCCTAACGAGGTGCCGCTACCTTGAACCAGCGATTATCCACCTCAACCACGAGCGATTTGCTAATTATTATAATGTTTTTCGTCTCGCGATTCCCCACAGCGTCTTTGACTCTCAAAATCGTGAAGTTCCGTCTAGAGAGCTCAAGCTTCAAAAGCATCGCACCCGGCATGCGGCATGCGGAAGCCGCGAGGGCGCGAAGCGCCCTCACGGCTGGTGTATATAAAAATGCCAATATCGCGGACAATCCGCCATTTTCGTCCAAGACGAGCAGTCCCATTATGATTTGTGATTATGCCATCAAAGTCAATATATAAGCACGGGGGTGCGCTCGCGCGTAGTTAGGTAAGTCCATCAGCGCAGCGCTGGCGGCTGGCGCTTCGCGTCAGCTGTATTCTCTATCAGCCGGTCGCATCACAGAGATGTGAAAAACACAGCAAGCCTAAGTGGCGACAACGGCAGAGAACGCTGACCGAAAACAATCATCAAGCTCACCTCCTCGAGGTAACATCAGGGCTCCTCGAGGAGTCCCGTTTGCGGGTTCAAATCCCTAGTGCTCAGTTCCAAAACATCGACGATTGGAGGTTCGATCCCCCCTCGTCACCATCTCATCATCTCCAGGACATTTTCCATTAGACTGGACATCTCAGGGAGACTGATCGTTTAGCGCAGCGCACCCCATGTGAATCCAACAAGCTCAAAGCTTGTGTCTTCATTCCCCCTTCGAGGCTCAGATCCTCGATTGTGGAGTGCGTTCGCCATAGTAGGGGTTTTCCCTGTGTATCACAACTCGAATACGTTCTCGATTCTCTGCTACTGGTTTATTCTCGGGCACACGCGTCTTGCTCGGACGCCGGCCATTCAAGTACTGACTTCTCCTGACACATGCACGGTATCTCGCTTCGCTACGTTAACGGCATGTTCCTACGCTCCCTACAAGACAGATACCTGAGAGTTTTCATGGCTACACTACACAAGTGCTTGGTCGATTGTCAAGGTATCTCGACAAGATCCCGACTGCGAACGCAATGTCGCCTCGAGTCGCACATGATGCAAAACTAAGTGCTCCTACGACATCTCGGTATTTGATATTCGTCTCAATAAGCTGCTTCAGCTGTCACATCTCTGGGTACTGGGGATGTTTTGCAATTTTTCATCCCGAAACGCTCGAGTAATTCTTGTATATACTTCGATTGATGAATCTGAATCATCCCTCGATCTAGGAGGATTCTCAAGAGCCTTCTCAACTTCCCCGATGGATTCCTTGAGCAGTTTTCCTTCACTTGCTGTAAGCATTAGATCATCAGCAAGAATAATCGCCTCGGCTGATTCGCATAGTACAGACCCGGTGAAGTTTTGTTTAACTTCTCGTTAGAACAACGGCTAGCTTGGACACTTCCATGCAGTGCCTTCTGTAAATCGGTTTTTCGCGAATCTGCGCAGGCGAGTCGGCGAGTCCGTAGACAGGACAAATCGGACACTGGACCTGCCCATGTATGCTCTGAGCGAAGTGTGCTCAAGGTTTTAGACTCCAGACTTATCTGAGGTTGTTGAGGTGATCAAGACGCTCGGGCCCGGCAAGGGCCCGGCAAGGCCCCGGGACCGGACGGCTTCACAGCGCAAACCATCAACAAAAATATTGAGAGCCTGGCGCTTCATCTTCTCGACGTCGAACTGCCGGCCCTGGTTGCGCTGGCGGCCCTCTGTTTTCCGCCTCAGCGACGGGACGGTCTCCCCAGAAAAACGGGTCGCCGTCGTCGTCGTCGCTGGACTCCTCTTGGTTGATCACCACCATTATCGGATTCTCCTCTCGGCTGTCCCCGCGCTGTTCCTTCTGAACCACCGGCGGCATGTCTCTTGGGCTGGGACAATCGACTCTCAAGCGTCCGGTTCCACCGCACCGGAAACAAACTCTTGCTGGACAGTTTCTCTCAAAGTATCCTACCTCATTGCACGATCGACTCGTCCTTCTTCTTGCACAGCAATATGGCGTCCCCGTCTCATGCCGATTGTCCAGGCAGTCCGCGCACACGCTCATTGTCGACCTCCTCGTAGCACACCACACGTTGAAAAGACCGCTGCTCTGTTCGATGCGAGCCTTCCGACCTCTTTTTCCATTGGGGGTGTCTTCTTTCCGTCGATCTCAGGGAGCATCGCCCGCTCGCTCTGCCGTCGCTACCTTCTAGTTGTCCTTTGACGTCCCTTTTCTGCTGCCTACCAGCACACTACCACCTATATATTTTTCTCTGATTCATTATCTATTCCTAATTTCCTTCTTGCTTTCTCCGCCTAACCATTTACTTAGTATATTTGCCTCGGAAATGCACTGTTCGCTTCGGCCAAACTCTTGCTCCACCCTCTTTTCGTCGTTCTCGAGCTTCTCTCCCCGTCAGCGGTGTAACCTCAACTTTTTGGTGATTTCGGACCCCTTCGCTTCTTGATTTCGGCGCCCCGTCTTTTCTAGAATCGTCACTTGATTCCTCCCTGACCGCCTTTGTTGTTTGTCTGATCTTCGACTCCGTCTCCTCTGCTTGGATCGACATGTTCAGACCCTCGAAACGTTGTGTCAACTCGTCGACTCGAATGTCCTCTTGCTCACCGTGCTCGATGTTCTCCTCCATCAGCGACTGATTCGATGCCTCCGCCCGTTGAATATTCTCTGGAATGCTGACCGGTAGTGATTTATGGATCCTCGATCGGGGAGATTTTCTTGATGGGATTCGCGATTTCCAAGGAGCTCGGTGACCATTTCTTCAGGGGGAAATCGCCCTCCGTGGAGATGACTGATAGGAGCTTGATTCGGTGTTTTACTTCACTGATCGTGGACCTTCCCGATACGACGTCGTCCATGTAGAAGTGATTCATGATTTCCTCGCGGAAGGGCGCGTCATCTGGGTAGTCCCTCATTGCTGACTCGAGGTGGAATCTGATTCCTCGATAGTTCTAGGAACGGTGAGCAGGTTAAACCGAAATCCAGCCTGGCTGCGTAGAACTCCAGGATTCTGGCGGAACTGTTGGCGCTGATGCCCAAGGGCCAGAGAAATCTCAGGAACTTCTTGTCGCTGTCGGCGGTCCTGAATCAGAGGAACGCTTTCTCGATGTCCGCCGTGAAGGCGTATTTGTACTGCCGGAACTTGAGTAAGACTTTCGTGATTTCCGGAAGTAGGTTGATACCGCAGTGGAGGACGTCGTTGAGACCGGCTTCGTGGGTGCGCCTGGCGCCGGCGTCTTTCACCACTCTGGTTTTCAGCCCCAGAGGGGAATCTGGTTTCGCTTCGGAGACCGCTTGAATGGCTAGACAGCGGGACAGTTGACCTGTCTTCTTTGGTTGAACTTTCTCTGCGAATCCGGCCTCTACGTAGCCCTTGACTTCGTCATCGACCGCCTTCAATTTGATTGGATCTTTCTTGAGCTTCTCCAAGAAGGAGTGGAGGCGCGATCTGGCGAGATTTTGATAGTCACCTAGTGACCTGATGTTCGACTTGAATGGTAGTTTGAGGACGTATCTTCCATTTTCGTCCCGGAAGCTGGTTTCCCTGAAATGGTCGATGAGTGCCTTGTTGAGGCTGTCTTCTTCTTCTTGTGATTCTTCTCTGAGATCGTCGTCGAAACCGACGTCTTCGGATCGCCATAGGAATTGAAGATCCTTCATTGTTTGAGCTGCTTTTTCGTCGGGTTTATCCTTCGGTGGATCTGACTCTGGTATGACGAGCTGCTTGTTCTGATTAGCTGGTAGAATCGAAGCGGGTTGAATGGTATCGAATCCAAAGAAGCGAGTGAGTGGAGATTCGAAAGTGGATGCTCGCTGCGAGCCTCCGAACACGTAGCCGAAAATTGAATTGAAGGCGAACGTATCGTTGAAGGACTGTGGGTCTGCAAAGTCGATCCTCGTGAAGTGATCTTGACCCAGGAGGACATCCACCGATCCGATTCTTTCCGAATACTATCGCGGACGTTCCCCGAGCTTTCGGTCTCCTTATAAACTGATCATGATAATGGTGCAAAATAACAACAATATCGTTTGACTTAACTCTGCGATCCCGAAGGCATTAATCAAGTAGCTCGCAACTAAGCATGAGGTGTAGAGACAAGGCGGTTTGACCGACCGAACCAAAACATTAGCATAGCTATCGCTGGCCGCGAACCTCTCTATGTGTTTCCCCCATGTTGCGCAACCTGCCACCGAGGGGCTGTTCGTCACACTCCCCCCCGAGACCATACCGTCGATGGATCATGTTGGCGCCTTTTTTCCAAATTATGCCCTCTCCTTTCTCTGCTTTCTGGGAGGCGATCTCAAGCGCGCGTCCTTTCACTTCGCCGTCGCCTCGTCTGTGCGTCTCGAGACCGCTTCTCGTCTTTAGTGATGAATACCTCCTCCCGCGAATGGAACACTTCGCCAATGGGCCTCTATTCGGAAGCCCTCGAAGAAGTGGAACGGGAGCTCGGCCATTGGCTTCGTTGCGGCGCGACGACCGTGGCCAAGCTTGCCAGGCTCGGCCTTACCGAGGAGGAACGGGCTCCCTTCCGGGCAGCCTCGCGTACGGGGCTGTCCGCCCACCTCTCTTAACGTTCCTCCCGCAGCCCGGGTGTTCATCACAGCGTGATGTTCAGTCTTTGTTCTTTCTCTCTCACCAAAATGTGGTCTTATATAATTTTTTCTCTTTGTTGTGTTGACTCAATTTTGATTGTTATGCAGGTACGCCGTCCCGTCCGCGTGGCACGCTGAAGATTATCTATGCATGCTGCGTGTCACTGCTCGGCATTGGCCCCGGGGATTGACTGTTCCCACAGGAACTCCGCGGGGGACGCTGGTTCTCCCGGAACCTGCCCCTACCGTGCAGGGCAGCGTCGAAGTTGTTTCCCGGCGCAGTCATCGGGAGTACCGGCGGCGCCATGAGCGAGACCCCCGCGTCCCGGTCCGCACTCCCCCGTTTCCCCACTTTCCCGTCTTCCTCACTTTCCCGTTTCCCCACTTTTCCGTTCCCCTTTTTCCCGCTTCCCGCTTTCCCGTTCCCCACTTTCTCATTCCCCCGCTTTCCCGTTTCCCCCTGCCCCCACTTTTATTCCATACCATATGTTCCCTGGGAAATCCATACCCTTCACGGCTACAGCAATTTTCTGCGAGATTCATTAGCAGAAAGTAGAAAAACAGAGGCCAATGATGACGGCAACCCCGATAGCCCCGGGAACCCACCCCTGAATTTTTGCGGCGATCGGTTCAGGCGTTTGCGAATTTTGCGAATTTCGGATTTTTCAAATTTTTTCCGAGTTTTCGAATTTTCGTGGGTGGAGCACTCAAATAATTTTTTAAAGGTAG